CAGTGCTGTTATAACTTCAGTCACTAAATGAACTGTTATAAGTCAAGGACTTACAGATGTATTTTATTACATCTGATGCAAGCGAGACTTGCAGCCCAATTCATATGAAGAACTCCACAAACATGGAACTGCTTTTGACATGGTCAATACTGTATGCAGCAATATCCTTTTGTTTGAGTGCACTTTTGATATTTCTGATGATGAAATGCAGAATTGCCATCTTGGAACAGTATTTCTACTGTATTGTTATCTACCAGTAAGGCAGCTAATTTATACTTTTGCCTCTGGCTGAATTTGCATGTAATCATTCAGTTCTTCCTTATGACCATTACACCACCCTTGCGGTCACATGATAGCAATTTGGGCAAGTGGCAACTGGCTCATATTTACAACCAGTTGCAGCATCTGCAGTCACGATTGCAATTTGCAACTTTTCTGCCAAATTTTGGTACAAAACCCCTGCCGATTGGGGAAGTTAGATTCGCTTAGCGACTTGTGATTCACTTAACAACCATGTGATTCACTTAACAACCATGGTAACTACCACCATAAAATTGTCATAAAATTGGGTCAATTCCATTTGCAACCACAACGACTTGCGATGGAAATTCCAGTCCCAATTGTGGTCATAAGAGGAGGAATACCTATATCCTATACCTACAAGACAATATGCATTGCCTTGAGAATAGGTGGGACAGCGATTCTCCAGTATTGTACATGACACTAAGGCACACATTGACTGAGTCTATGGCAATGCAGCTCACTGTTCCCATCATACCTCCTTTTAGTGTAAACTTAATTTATATACATTTCCTGAAAATCCCAATATCAAAATGAACACAAATGAACAATGAAAACAATACAATGAAACTTTGGGAAAGATGGCTTTATTGTAACAAAGTAACAAAGGGAGGATACAAGGGAGGTACCCCTCACAGTTTGAGAAATCCTGTTCTACGATGAAGATTTACTTGGATTTACTTTTAGATTTATAATATGCCCTTTCAAACAGTGTAACTTTGGGTGGCTACAAAAACAAATAACAATTTTTTTAAAAAGTATATAAATATAAGATACAAAATATAGGCCCGGGAGAATAGTGTACAGTGCAATTGGAGTAGTATAGGGTACATTGCCAGAATGCTTCAGGATTTGAATTGTGAACGCTGACACACTTGTACTCCAGATATTGTGTTGTTTTTTTGTCCAGCATTTCATTGCTGTGCAAGAATATCTATGCTCTCGTGTATGAGTTAAGTTTTCACTAATCTGACAGTTGCAGAAACAAAGGCCAGATGGAAACAAGTCAGCCAGCTCAAAAGAAAAAGTCTAATACTTTGTTATATGGGGAATGAAAGAAAAAATGGAGCATGAAAGAGTTTGGGCATTATTTCTACCTAGAATTTGTTCCTGAATCACAGTTATTGAAATTCCTTGATTATGTCTTCTTTCTTCATAAATGCTTATCTGAAGGTTTTTTGTTGTTGTTGTTCTTGTGAGCCGAAATAGTGGTTCTTTCCTGCCAAAAGAGTGAAACTTTGCAATGTATTTCCTCTGCAATTTCTGGAAAATGTCTACATTCCAATAACTGAATTGCTATTTCTCCTGCACCTTGTAGCTGGCTCAGCCCTTTTCCACATGTGTTCCAAACAGCACTTAATGGGCTGCTTTCCCTCCTGGCTCATGTTTTGAAAAAAGACGATTGGCCTTTAAGCCTAGGTTTAAAATAGCACAACTAACATCACACAACCTTTTTCCCTGACTAGTGCTACAACAGCAGTGTTGGCAGGGCATGATAAGGAGTCCATTTCTCAATTTTGTGGCTGCCAGCAGCTGGAAAAAAGACCAGTGAATGGCTATGGAAAACATGCATGCTACAGCAATTTCCAAAATTATGCCACTAGGAGTGGCTTGCCTACAGTAAAGTGACTATTATAATATCCAGTGCCACCAAAGCCAGAACAGAAGAGGCAAAATGCAGCTGTCTCTATCTACCACAACAGTCAATCCAACTTACCATATCTTTGGACAAAATGCACAAAATGATCTAAAAATAAATAATCCAGGCAGGTAAATCATGCTTCTGATGTCACAAATGAAAATGATGCAAAGAATCCTATGCAACATTGCCCCCTGGCGAAATGTATTTGTTAAAACACCATATTCTAAAACTCCAACTCCATTTCTGTGGTCTAAGCATTGGAAGAGGCACACAATATTAAGCAAACATATTAGCTACAAAACCTCCAGCTGTACAAATGGCTCCTATGTGAAAAGGTTATTTTTAGAATGTTAATGATTCTTTTAAATCACTGAGGCCATGGCCGAGAGAAAAAAAAGAAAATAAATGGCATAACATCAGGGTACTTGAGGGGTTGCCTATTTCTGTGTGTTTCTACCCATTCAGTGAGGCCAGCTGGAGATGAGGGCATTCTTGAGGTCTGCCAATTAAAAAATGTTAATTTTGCAGTACCTAGGAGGCACACCTTCTCAGTGATGGTTCCTGCACCCTGGAATGATATTGGTACTACTCCCACTTCTGATTTTTCACAAGTGGTTAAAAACCTACCTGTTCTCCCAGGTCTTGGGTTAGGATAGTGTTTAAGCTCTCCACATTTTTGGTGGTGGTGATATTGGTCTTTTTTACATTTTGAGGTTGGTCTTCTGGTCAGTTATATTATTTCTATTAGTGTTTTCTTCCTTATTCTTCTTCTTGTTTTGGTTGGCAGCCTCAAAATTGAAATATTAATTTATAATAAGTTCAAGCTTATAGGTGTCTTTTAAATGCCAAACTAAATAGTGACAATTCTACTTAACAAGCACCATTTGTTGTGCACAATATGAAATTATGTACTTCAAATAAACTTTGCATTACTTTGAGCATAAGATTAACCTCGCTGAATCATTTCAAGTGCCTATTTAGCCCATCTTTGTTTCACATAGAGGCATATTAGATGCATTCAGACAACTTATATAATTAGTTGAAATATGCCTTCCTTCTATCACTCTCCAGCAGCTGGTGTTTAATATATGAAAATAATTAGCTGTTGATAAGTTTCATAGTCCATAAACCTATGCAGTTCATTTTTTTACCTATCTAATCTAGTGGTCATCTGATGCACTGAATTCCATACCTGAACTCTGTATTTCTCGTCCTTTATGCACAATATCACTGACCTCATCGCCACCTTTATGACTTCAGACTGAAAGAACATGGCCATTCCAAGCTGAAGAGATGAGGCTCTTAGGAAACATCACACAAAATGGCCTATGTATTACCATCTCAACAATGCAGTAAACACTTTGCAAGTCTCAGGACTATATAAAGGAGTGAAAAACAGGTAGGTAGCTTTCTCCTAACCTAACTGGTATCTTCCAGGTATGTTGAGCTGTAGCTTCCAGACCCACAGGAGAATTGTAGCCTAATATTCATGATAGTCACCTGACTGGGAAATTTCAGTGGAAACAAGAATCAAGTGGAGGGAGCAGGGACTTAATAGCAAATAAATTTACTGAATAGGCCAAATTTCCCCATCTCAACATTCTCCAAATCCACCGAGTATAGGCATTATCACTTCAGCAAACACCATCAGCCATTACTCCTTAGAATTAGATGATGCATGCTACTACAGCTGAGTTAAACAAATGATTTACCTCAGATATTTTATGAAATATCTGGTTCATACACCTGCAAATTGGACTGACAAATTTGAGCACAGATTGTTTATTTGAACGTTCCTCCACAACCACCATTTCTGATTGCTTCCAGTTACATTCCATCCAGTCAACCTTGACTTCTGGCGACTACAGGAACAAGCCTCTGTAGTTTTCTTGGCAACATCTTCAAGTGTAGTTTGTCGTTGTCTCTTTCTTCAGAGGGCTGAGAGACAGGGACTGGCCCAAAGGCATCCAGCTAAAAATCACTAGCCTGGTGCCTTTCACCACTGCACCAAACTAGCTCTCAGTTCATCAGAGTAATATCTTCCCAGTTTTGTCTGATGAAGTGGGAATGTGTGATCACACCCAAAATATGGAAATAGCTCTTGCATGGTTCAGCTGATTAATATTAAAGAAACTGATCATTCCAATCAGGGTTTCCCAAAGTCGGCAACTTTAAGATATGAGGACTTCAATTACCAGAATGCTGGCAGGGGAATTCTGGGAGTTGTAGTCCAAACATGTTAAAGTTGCCAAGTTTGAAAAATACTTTGGAGAGCAGGAGGAGCCTTCCTCCATATATAAGGCACAACCGCTCTCCCCTTAAAAGGTCCCTGCTGCACGGGCTGCCCTTAAGCTATCCTGGTGATATACTCCAGTCCTTGTCTGGTAGAAAATGCCTTTCAGCGGCCGCTCCGTTTTCGTTCCCCCACCCCCTCACTCGTTTGTTCCTGCCTAGTCGGCGCTTAATGACAATGTGCGCTTGCGCCTCTCCGCCGATGTCGCCAGAGCCTTCCATTACAGGAAGGTAACCCCAAGTACGGCCTCATTCTCCTTTTCTGACCATAGAGTCTCTGACAACCACCGCAAGCGGAATGGAGCCGGTAACACTACAGTATCAACCCTAGCGGCAAGGCCAGCCGTAAAGCGAGCTGCAATCCAATGTCGCGCGCGGTCGCCTCGGAGGGAAAGCCGCTCGTGAGAAGCCACGCCTCTGACCCCTTTCTCCTTCCTCTCTCTCAGTCCTTCCTCGGGGCCAACCATAAAGTAAAGCGACGCGAAGTGTCGCGCCGTCTCCCTGATTCTGGAGCCGCGGCAGCCAGGCCTGACAGGAAACCTAGTCGCGCTTTACGGCCGCTGGATGAGGAGGAGCGGAGAAAGGGAGCGGGAGGTGCCGCGGCTGCTGCTGCCGCTGCTGAAGGGACTTTGGGGTGAGGAGGAGGAAGAAGAGGGAACACGCGGGTGGGGTTGTGTGAATGAAAAGGGAAGCGTTGGGTGTTTTCTTCTTACACTTTCACTCTTTTTCTCTTCGCTTCCCTCCTTCCTTTTGGTCTCCTCAGGACATGGCCGAGGTACCGCCCGGGCCTAGCAGCCTCCTCGCTTCGCCGCCGGGAGCCGCCGCTGCGCTCCTCTCTCCCTTTCCGGGAACTGCTGAAGAGGAGGAAGAGGAAGAGGAGGACGAAGAGGAAGGAGGAAGGCGTTCCTGCAGGGAGGAGGACGCTGAGGAGGAAGGCATGCGGGAGGGGAGCCTGCCCCGCCGCCGCCGCGCTTGCCAGCCCCATCGCCACTACCATCAGCTCAACGGCCTCATCGCTGGGTCGGACTTGCGGCACTTGCGAAGCTCCCTGAAGGACAAGGTTTTAAGCAACAGCAACGAGAAGCAGTGTCCGCCCAATAGCAAGAAAAACGGCAACGCCACCATCACCACTGGCCCTGGCAAAAGAATGGGACACGGGCAGGAGCCCCAGCATCCCTGTCAGGGAGGGGAACAGGAGACAAGTCCACCTTCACTCAGCAACCACCACCAGGTCCCTTGCCCCCAGGCAAGGACTGCACAGTCCCAACAGCAGCAACACCGCCACCACCACCACCACCATGATGCTTCTGCTCCCTCGGCTGGGGACAGGAATGGGCTGGTTGGGGGAGGAGAGTCGGAGGAAGGCGAGGACCAGGAGTTGGAAAGGGAAGAGGAGTCCTTGCTACTTCTCTCCAGATCCTTGGCCTCTACCTGCAGTTTGCAAAAATGTTCCATGGGTCCCCATACAAACACTTCCTGGCCCCCCCAGCAGGTGAAGGAGGAGAAAGAGGACCTCACAATACGATATGTCCGATACGAGTCCGAGCTACAGATGCCAGACATCATGAGACTGATCACCAAAGATCTGTCTGAACCCTACTCCATTTACACTTATAGGTATTTTATCCACAACTGGCCTCAGCTTTGTTTTTTGGTAAGTTGGGGTGGAGACACGATTAAAAATGTGTTGCAAAGTTGAAGGGTTAAAGGGAAAATGTTGGTGGGTGATATGGAGAAAGTTATAGAGTAAACAAAGTTCTCACATCTGTCATTCACCGGTAGGCAAATTGTAAAATAAATCATATGCAAACCAGGTAATTGTGTAAGTATGGTTTGAATTATGCAGAATTATTCATAAACTTTGCCCACATGTACAGTGTAAACTGAAGACCAATCTCTCTATAACTTTGTTCCCAGGACAAAGGAAATTGAATTGTGCTTGGTGAATTTGGAATTCTGTATGTTTATTTTTAAATGGTTTGGGGATGCTGAGTTATATTGTCATTAGTTTGTTTTTTGGAGTTTGCTCTATCAATGTTTGCCCAGTTAAAATCAGAAGTAGTAATGTCTTAGAAAATATTTGAGTTGATACTTGTACAAACTTTTCTATTTTCTATTTATGGAGCAAATGTTTGAAAAGTAAATTAGGATTAATACAATCTTACAATGCTTCTGAAAAACTCATTTTGGGAATTTTAAATATGAGTATCCCTTGGTACTTCACAGTATTCAATTTTAACTTGGTACCATTTATGTAATTTTAATGTTTTTGTATAAAATTTAAATTGCAACTTATTTTCAGAGATGAAAACCTACATGTTATGTGCAACATGCCTCTTACCAAATTGTATGTCTTAAATAGACATGATTCTATATACAGAAAGCAGTTCATTCTCCCCTAAAAAGGTGAGCATAGATCTTGAACCATAATTGTAAGGAGAGGGTAATTTGAAAGGAAAAAAAGGGAGGATTTCTTAAATGATTCTACCATACTGCATTAAATATTTCTTTTTAAAGTAATTACGTTAGTGGTTCTTATTATTTATTAGCAGTCTAAACTGCTATCTACTTAGTCAAATATCAGGTTAGCCAGCCTTCCTTTTAAAACTTTGCATGTATCATACAAGCAACTGAAAAAAAAGTAGAGTATGCTTACTTGAAAGTCAGTTCTCTTAAGATATCTTTAAAATATTTTACAAATTGAAAGAAAAGTTTCTAATGGTTTGACGTGTTTATTTGTGATAATGTCTACAGGCCCTTAATACAGTCATTTTTAAAATTTTTCAGTGAGAAAATCTAGTAAATTCATTTGATCTTTTCAAGGAAATGACAAAATACATGGAGTTTGTTTTACTTTATCAGATGCTAAGTTTTAGCTTTTTGAGGATATTTGAGGTGTTGAAGCAAAGGCAAAAAGAACAATAAACATAAAACATGTCTGAGTGGGATACAGATAGGGTGGCATGAGAAAATGAAGATTTATATATTGACACATCAGTGTAATGTAAATGCTTATAAGGGGCATTTCCTTGGGGAAACATGCCCTAGCTCAGGGGTTCCCAATCGGGTGCGAAAACTTGGGTTTTCAAAATTATAGTGTATATGCATAATTTGTTGCCGTTATTTCAAACTTTTGTAAGGGGTACGAGAATATATCAAAAGCGTTTTAGGGGTGCGGGGTATAGAAAAGGTTGGGAGCCACTGCCCTAGCTGGATGAGCTATGTCCAGATTTACAGCTTTCATTTGAAATCTATTTTCCCTTTTGCAAAATCATAAAAATAGGTAGTAACTATTACGTAAGAATAAGAAAGGCCCATTCCTATATTCCTATTTGTTTAACTAATGAATGGACAGTTTAAGCAATGACTGGCTTAGACCCTACAGAAGAGTTTACATTTTTTCCCCTACGTTCTCATGAAAAACATTTCAGAAATCCAAACTTTGCTATACAATATTTCAGTAATAGCATAATATCTCTAAAGCAAACTAGGAACAAAAATAGTTGAAAATGTAACAGTCTATTCTTATTTTTAAATATAGTCCTGACTTTTTAAAAACAAAAAGTGACATGACAAAAAAGTTTATAATAATAATAATAAAGTTGGAAGGGACCTTGGAGGTCATCTAGTCCATACAGCATGACTACATAGCAAAAACTTAGAAAATAACTGAGAAACATTATGCCAGTCCTGTTCTTATTAGTTTCATATGAGTATAGGGGATATAGTCTTAACAATGTTATCTTGATGTATTGAGTTTTCAATGAATATTTTAGTATTGCAGGGTGTTAACAGTTAACACAGTAGCATTGCAGTTAATTAAGAACTGGAAGGGTTACTTCTGTATGCTCTGTTAAGCAAGGCTGCAACTTGTCCTTCTAGGTTTTCTTTTAGATAGGGACTCTCATCAAACCAGGATGCAATATGGAGGAATATGGTGTGTTGCTGCTCAGAATTATTATTTTCCATATATCATGAATATGTTTTGTAAAAATACCAATATCCCTATGTGATATGAGGAGAGCTTATAGATTGCCTGTAAACTAGGCCAAGGATCATTACTTAATTGAAAGAAGCTAGGAGAACATTCATTTATTAAGTTTTCCCTCCAAGATTACTTTCAAGGCAACTAGGAATTATTTACCTTTCTATTGCTCAGGAACACCATGTTATCTGGATTAAGCATTGATTAATATATTGGTGATCATATTGGTATTATTTTAGGATTTGAATAGCTAACTTTGATTTTAACTTTTAAGGATTTTAACATAGTCAGAAAGCTCAAGAACATCCACATATTATCTGGATTAAACATTATCCAAACCTTGATTAGTGTTGATATTATATTGGCAATAATATGTGTATTATATTGGTAATAATATTGGTATTATTTTAGTATTTGAATAGCTAGCTTTGATTTTAACTTTTAAGGATTGTAGAATAGTTGGAAAATTACTCTCCCAGATATACCCATTGGAATAGAAGAAGTAAAATTCCTAAAGGGTATCCCCTAAAACTGATTGGAACAGAGTTCCTCAATACTTTAATTCTAAATGCATACCTTTTGGTATACAAAAGCAAATCTGACAAACCTGAAATCAGTCCACTCTCAGCTTACATTATTGATTCAGTCTGATTTTCACATGGCATATGCGATTTCCCCCTCTTTCATTGATTCATCTGCTGTGTTTTTCTATGGTTGGGATAATGGAATAAATTATGGTTAATGTGCCTTCAAAACAATAAAAAGAAAAAAGCTAAGGACTTGAGGGTGCATTGAGAAACATAAGCCAAGAGGAGGAATGTGAAGTCTGTAGCATATACCTGACCTTTATTGGGTTTGGTTAGTGAAGTATATAAATTGGAATGTCTAGAAAATATTTAGGAAGCAATTATAAATGCTTTAACCAAAATGCTTTTTTTAGAATTGTCTTCTCAAAAGGACAGAAAAAATCCTCTGATTTCCCAGGATCAGATACTGATCACTCACAGGAATAGGAATAGATGATCATAACCCTGGTTGGAATACTCAGGCATTTATCTTTCTAGTTATTATTGCTGCTTCACTGCTCTTTCTGTCTATCAGAAATTATTGCAGTATCAGTCTAAGTTTGATCTAGTCTGAATCTAATAGTGTTCATTTCTTTAATTTGTCAAATTTTCTGCAGATATAATTATTTTACCTGCATAACTTTGACCTAACTTCATTTTTAGGTGAAAATACTGATTCTGACACTTGTGATTGCCTGGGTGTTTTAGAATCTTAAGATTCTAAAGTTTTTATTCTTGACTGCATGAAACTTGGTCAGTAATTGTGACTTATGGTATGAGCAAGATGCTCCTTTGCAGCAACAATCAGTTATGTGAGCATTATAAATATTGTATAAATAAACATCTGCAAGCGTGAGGGTACATGCATACCTTGAAAGCTAGCATAATCATATTAGAAAATCATACAAGTTGAACAGTTATGTTAACTATGTATATGTTTCTTGATCTTATTACATGCACCTAATGCAAAAAGTAGATCAGAAAAAAATAAAAGTGGGAAAGTTAGGTTTCAGCAGAAATTTCACCTACAGCTGTAACCAGATTCAATACGTTTTGTCAGGATTTATGACATTTTCTTTTTCAATTCTTCCTTTTTCCAATCTCAACATTCTAAGTTTTGTATTTTTGTAGGAGGATAAAAATTGATGCTAGTACTTTTTGTCAGATTTGCCATCCAAAGAAGCATATTTGGAAACTAACATCTGTAAAATATAAAGTATATATCGAGCAATATCTGTGTATAAAAGAGCCATGCAATGGATTTGTCAGAAATAACTTTCTGAAACATAAAAATTAAAAATGTTCTCATTAAAAATTAAATTTTAAAATTGATCTACATTTCATAATCTTTGACTATTGAAATTACAAAGGCTTTTTCTTTTTTCATGTTTCAATCAGTTATTTCAGTTCTGATATAGCAGCTCTTATTAGAATTGCTGATTGATCAGTATTTCAGTTATGTGCTTTCTACTTGGAATTTAATAATTCTATTCCTCATAAAAATAAAAGATTCATTCTCAAAGAATAGAAAAGTATCACTGAAGAATAATTCAAACTACACTGCGATATTGGATAAAATACTGTAAGATCCAGGCCAAACAGGCTAAAGCTACTGTTTGGAGTACTAAATATTATAAACAGAAGGTAGTTTGCACGGTTTCCTAGCTTTTGTGTGCCTCTTATGCAAGCCTCTCAGAAGATTTGTGAAGCTTTCTTAAATAGCATAGACTAAAAAGAGCAACAAAGAAAAAAAAGGCATCCTGCGTGCTATCAATCCATACATAAAAGATGCATGTACTCATTCTGGGGCAGTTTCTTATTCACTATTAGCCCTTTGTGATAGCAAATTCATATACTATGCATGAGTCTGGGCAGATATTTGTGCTCATGCAACTTAACATCCAAGCTAAAGAGTATAATACTACTTTTCCAAGAAACTAATTTAAGCTTCTGTTAATAAATAAAGTTTTGGGGAATTTCCAACATGGGGTTTTTTAAAAAATGTGTCTATAAAATTGTGATTTTATGGCACTGTGTGTTAGCCTTAACCTACAAGATGTGTTTTGTTTGGTTTTTGTTTTGTTTTTAAGGCAATGGTAGGTGATGAGTGCGTAGGTGCAATCGTCTGCAAGTTGGACATGCACAAAAAGATGTTTCGTAGAGGTTATATAGCCATGTTAGCGGTGGATTCCAAATACAGAAGAAAAGGCATAGGTAAGAATAGCAGTTGCATCTTTTTGAAGCCTTCTGAAAGTAATATACTTTCAGTTAGCTATTGCTTTGAGGTAAATATTTTTGCATACAATTGCCTTTCTTTGTGGCAATTACTTTAATCGATAATTTTTAAAATGAAGCAGCCTGCTATTGTCATATACTTATGTGCAGCTCATGAATCCTTATTCTGTGGATATCCACTTTGAACTCATCACCAACCCTGTTCTGCTGCAGTGATGTTGACAAGACAAACATGCCTCATATTTGTGAAATATATTCTGTTTAGGTTGGCTGCTTTCTCTTGTGAGCCACCACTGTATATAAGACATTCACAGGTTAAAAGGAGACTGGGGACAGAAATTTAACCCATTAAAGGAAAGGAATATGCATGATTTTATTAGCTTATTCTGTACCCCATTGGTTCCCTTACTTTACACTGTAAGTTGTGGCAGGCTAAGTGAAACTAAGTGAAACTGCCTCTGGAAACTGCTATGCAAATTTTTGAAAGTCAAAAATGCTAAAGAATAATCTTAAATAAGATCTTTGAATGTTGTGCCATGATATTTCATTTATACTTAATGTAAAGACGTGGGTGTTTGGGTTGCCTTCCCTCTCCCTTATGATATATTTTTTTTAAAAAAATGTGTAGACTATCATATTACTAATTGTTACTTCTTAAATTATGCATGTGTTAGAAGATCAGAACACAGACTAGTTCATGCTGTAACATTTTGTACTTGAAGTTTAAATTTTTTTTTATTTGTATTCCAGGTACAAACTTGGTTAAGAAAGCTATTTACGCCATGGTAGAAGGAGATTGTGATGAGGTAATTATTTTGTTTCTTTGAAAGAACTTTGTTTTTCTCCCTTGCTTTACTTGAAGGCTGTTCTTCCAAATGCAATTTCTTATGTAAGCAAATCTTCAGTTTAAGTAAAATATACTCAGAAAAACATACCATCTGTTTTCTGGGACTCAAAAAAATGAATTTGACTCCTTTGGGCTATGCAGAAAAATACATGAGCAAAAACCCTAAACAGATCTAGATAATAATATAAGTGACCTAAAGTAGTGATTTGAGCTTGTATAGTATACTAAACGTTTATGATATTTTGGGGATACAGTACATGAAAATGGTAGCATGTAAACCCAGAAATCCATACTGGCTCGGTCGTCACCCAAGTAAACAAGGACTATGCTAGGTGCTGGATTTCCTGGACATCTGGTGAAAAATAAGTTACAGGACTCAGAACTGTTGATTGAGCAACTACGGCTAGTAGCTGCAGAACTGTTTACCCATCACAAATATACAGTGATTGAAAACAAAGAAATAATGATCTGTTATTACAGTTTAAGTCCCAAAAGAGTATTTTTGAAATGAATGCACCAGTTCTGGAAAGAATAACATCCAGAAATACAAATAACAGAATAGAGGCTAGCAGATCAACATCAGTTTTTAATACGAAATAAAGTGTTCACAGAAGCAGAATTGGAAGAATTGCAAAAGTCTACCCAGGACAAAGAAATCAAAGCCTTGCCAGAAGTAACTCAGATTATAGAGGCAAACCAAGGAGAGTTGGCAGTTAGAGGAAGCTAGCACAGCTATAGAATTGTTTTCATTTGGAAAGCAGGCACCCTCTATTCTGCCTCAAAAAGAACAAAGCCCTCTAACTAAAGAACTAGAAGAATTAAAACAAAGAATAACTGAGCATCTAGAACAGCACAAAAACAAGAGAATACGGTTGCCTGCATTGAAGCTTGTTGCAAAGAAACAGCTAGCATAAGCATTAAAAGATGCCAATGCTGTAATATCAAATATAACCACCAGCTCACTGCATGAAACAAACCAACTAATGCACAGCACATCTACAGTTATAACTGAATACCAGGGATGCAAAATCTACAAAGAAGAAAAAAAGCCAAAATAATGCACCACCAAAATGGAAGATCAGGCTGGAAAATAAGATTAGCAAACTGTGATCAAATGCAAATAAGCTAGAACAGATGAAAGAAAAGAAACTGAAGAACAAGAAGACTAAGGTATACCTAATCAAGAAATACCACTTAGAAACAAGGAAGCTCAAAGAACACTGGAAATAATAAAGCAGCAAATAACAGCAATAGCCAAGAAAATTAGCAGATACAAAACTTGAATTGCAAATTATAGGCAGAACCCCCAATTTCAATCCAATCAGAAACATTTCTATCAGTCGATCAATGGAGATACTGCAGTGAATCAGTCAGCACCTGATAAGGAAGAAACTGCAGTTTTGGATGAATATATGAATAATTCAAAGAACAAAGCTTGGTTAAAGAAGGTGGATAAGAATAAAAAAAGATGACATGAAAGAACTTGTAATAATAGCAAAAATGGTTGAGAAAAAGGAAGATCAAGAATTGTCAGCACCAGGTAAAGATTAATTGCATAGATTTTGGTTGAAACATCTGATTAGTTTATACTCACTTGTTTCCAAGCAGTTTAACAACGTACTGCAAGAAAGTGAAATTGAAGAGTTACTAACATCTGGAAAAACCTACCTGAAAGATCTACTGGTACCAGTAGGCCGTGAGCATGCGGGGATGGGTCGGGACCTGTGCATGGGGTGAAGCAATGTGGCGGCGAGAGCGTGGTGGCAGACCAGATATGGTACCGGTGTAGCGGTGGTGGAAAGGGCACCAAGCCTGGCACAGGGCGAGTCGGCCCACACCCGGAGTGCCTCCCCACCACCTGCCTGCCAGGGCCGGTGGAACCGCACCACCCACGCCTCCACCTCCGGGCTGCTGAGCGCCAGCCTGCACGCCTACTTGGTTCTGCAGGCGCTGGACTAAGGGCGGGCGTTGCAGCTCTCATGCCAGCTGGGCGCTTTTGGCCTCTACTGGCTGCTCCTGCCACATCATCTTCTGCCCGGCTGGCTACTACCGCTACTGCCATGAGGTGAGGAGACGCAGGTGGCGGCGAGGTGGAGTTGCTTCCCTCCGCCTGCCAGACACCTGCCAAAGCCGCGCAGGGTAAGGTTGCCATGGAGGGGGGAGTTGTTTCCCTCCGCCTGCCAGACACCTGCCGAAGCAGCGCAGGGTAAGGTTGCCATGGAGGAGGAGAGTTGCTTCCCTCCACCTGCCAGACACCTGCCGAAGCCG